TAGTATTAGCAGCACCAAACTTGTGAAACGGGGAATGCTCGTAAAATGTTCAAATGATGAATCTTTACAGAAACTAAAAGCAATAGTTGAGGAAAAATTCAGTCGTCAGTATAAAATAACTACACCTAAATCTTTCAAGCCCCGTGTCTTATTTTCTGATGTGGATAAATCTCTTGATAACAATGATGATTTTATTCAGTCGTTGGTGCAAAACAATACATTTCTGGTTGATTGCGACATAAAGATAATAACTATGCTGAAGTTAAAATATTCTTTAAGTTATGTCATAGAAGTGGACCCGCAGGTAAGAAAAAGAATAATTTCTCAAGGCTGTTTGTACACGTCTTGGAGAAAATGTCAAGTCCGTGATCATATATCGATAATCAGGTGCTTCAATTGCTCTCGCTTTGGTCACCTAAATAAAAGATTGTAAGAGTAAACCCTTGTGTGCAACTTGTTCCAATGAACATGATGTTAAAACCTGCGAATCTAGTATTAAAAAATGCGTAAACTGTTCGGCATATAACGACTACATGCTGAGTCGTTCTAGAAACTATAAGCCTTCTCCTGTAGACCATGCATCATCAGATACCCAATGTCCATGCTTTTTAAGGAGACTAGCACAAATTAAATCCAGAATTGATTATGGCTAAATCAATAAAAAATATTTTAAAAATATGCCATTTAAATGTACGTTCTTTAACGGCTGACTTTAATGAATTCTCATCTCTTGTACGATGCAAGTTTGATATTGTAGCAGTCACTGAAACATGGCTCCATTCAAACATTGATAGCACTGCTGTCAGTATGCATGGGTATAGCTTCTTCCGTAAAGATCGGGGGAGTAGAGGGGGTGGCGTCGGTCTGTATGTTAAAGTCGGTTTTAATAGTAGCGTTATTCCAGTTGAGTTCTGTGATTTTGTAATTCCCCTGGAAATTTTATGCTGCAAATTTAAACTACTGGGAAAAAGTATGCTAATTGTTGTGGTATATCGGCCACCACATTGTTCTATATCTCAAGCTATCCAATCCTTAGAAAACTTGATCGCATTTTTCACACCCCAATATGATAGTATTGTATTTTTAGGAGATATGAACGTTGACTTGCTTGCGCATAATAATATCCTTAGCAGCTGTTTTGATTCTTTCAATTTCTTTCAAGTCATTAATGAGCCTACACGAGTTACAGCTTTCAGCTCCACATTAATTGACCCCATTTTTGTAAGTGACAGTACTATAGTAAAGAAGTCTGGGACACTTAATGCAGACTCGATTAGTGATCACCGTGTTCTTAATTACTTTTTTTGTAACATGTGTATGTATTTTTCTTTCTTTTTTCTCTGCTTTGGGGTTAAGTGGAGGAGTAGCCGTCTGGCTAAACTTCGCCTCACTGCAGATAATAAAGGCATTATTATTATTATTATTATTATATCAAAGTCTGATTCAAAAATCATTTATGCCTCATCAAAACACAAGCACTCGATCTTCGCTTCTATTTGTCTGTTACTGCATAGCTTCTTTTACCCGATGTAAATGAGATTTGGATAAAGTGTAAAAAGTCTGTTGACTGTCCAACAACCTTAGTATCTAAACGAACTGGACTACAAGCATGTCCCGACAAAAACTAAAATGCCCATTGTTCACAGCACTTGTTACCCTTCATTAATTTTATGTCAATTCCACTTCGCGCTCACCACCGATTTTATGGTAAACACCGTTGTTAATTAGGGCTCGAAAATTAATACGCTCTTTAATTCGATTCGACCTTTTTTTTATAAGTATCGCTTTTTACTATACGGCTTCGGCGTGTTTGATGGATTTTTCACAATACTCCAATTTGAGTTATTGCCATGAACGGGCGTCATTGCATAATAGATTGCGGCTAGCTGTTAGTACATCGTTTGTTTCTGTTATATACGTCGAATATTGTATTTTGCGAACAATATCAAAGTCTACATCGGAATAGTTATGCTTATATTTGACAACTAATTTTTTAAAAGAATTCCTTCGTCTTGGCTTATGCACTAAAGCCTTGTATCTCTTATTTGATTAAAAAAATGGCATAGCAGATTGACTCTATACTTCCCACGCCATGGAAACAACTTCTAGTATAATTTTCCATGTAGTGTAATGACATTAAAAAGACGTACGGGACGTGGGCTTTTCGTGAAAAAAAATCCTCATTTCTCAGCAATGAGCGTGTCCCGTATACGCGTGCATCATTTCTTTGTAGCTCTGGAGTAATGACTGATTATAACAGCTCTTGATAAATACTTCTATACTTTACTATTATTATTATACTATATACTATAATATTATATACTATTACGTCACGAAATCGAATATACTCACTGAATTACACTCCAAGGATAACAAACATGTATAGATAATATCGTGTCCCCCTCGTATGTCGCTGCGCCTCTTGCTACTTCACATGCTTTTATAAGGTGCTCGGATCGAGTACCAAAGACGCAATATTCCAAAATAACCTAGTGTGGCACGGCATGTGCGACCGATAGTCTGCTGTTATAAAGTTTTAAGGGCAAATGTACAGGCAAATCTATGATGTGTGAAATACGACGGTCACGCTGTATATTTTGAGATGTTCATTAACTATACTAGTTAAGACCGGCAACAGTTTACTATTAGAAAGAGCAATCCTTTATCAGTAAGTCGCCGCATTCAGTTCATTTGCAAAGATCTTACAGTGCACGTGGTGTAAACAAATTTAAGACGGAACATTTAGTTGTCTCGAGAGAGTTATCGCGTTTTGATTTACTATGACTTTAAATTCTGTTTAACTGAACATCAATGTATCGAACGGTTACAACAGGCATTTGGTAATGAAGCTCCGTCCCGGGCATGTATGTTTCGCGGGTATGCCGAATTTCAAAGAGGGCGTGTTTCATTGGCTGTTGAAGAACGTAGTGGTAGGCCATGTTCTAGTGTGACTCCAGAAAAAATTGCTAATTGAAGAAGATTCTCGCTGCATATATGCGACTATAGAGGCGACTCTTGGGGTAGGATCCGCAACAGTACACACCGTTTTGCATGATGATCTTCATTTAAAAAAAGTTGTTGCCTGACATCCACGACAATGCCTGTAGGCACACTGCCCAACTTACTGTAGACTTTTTACGCTAGCGCCACATCAACATGCTGGAACATCCGCCTCATTCGCCAGATTTGGCAATGTGTGACTTTTCACAAATCTGCGTGGTAGAAAATTTTCGTCCGAAGAGGAAATCGAACAAGCAATTAATCAGTTTGTTGAAGGCATTCCAAAAACTGAATGGTTAGAAGCATTTAATTTGTGGAAGGTTAGGCTACAGACGTGCATTGATGCTGGAGGAGGATACTTTGAACATAAATAAACTAGTTTTCGAAAAATAGTTTTTAGTTTTCGTGTATCTCAAAGTATATAGCGTGGCCTTCGTATGTCTAATAAGCGCGCAGAATAACCGGGGCTGGAAGTGTATTAGTATAATAACATAAACAACTGAGATAGACCATCCAGCGCCCTCTGCAACCCAACCCCCCAATTTCTTACTCCTAATGGTTTTTTGATTTTCTTCGCCGGAATTTGATCGATTTTAAAAATTACCAAAGCTTTTTCGTCTTTGGTATAGTAGTTACCTTGTGTAAATATTTCATCCAAATCCGAGTAAAACTTTTCAAGTTATAGCGACTAGCGGACTGACAGACCGGTGGAAATGAGTGATATGATTTTTGGTGACGTACATGTCATATAACATCAAAAAAATATAAAATCTCAGCTTCTAAATTTGCTGCCTAGCTATTTCTTGTAAAATGAGTATTTTTGTTTTCTTTAGGTGCTACCATTGCGTTTACTATTCAACCAGCCGTTTACTAGACCTCAGCGCTTTACGATTCTTCACATCTTTATTTTTCATATAACCAAGGTTGATGAAGCAATCTTACATCCAACTTGCTCGTTTTTTCCCGTTATTTTACCGAATGATAATGTGATGGAACTTTTTGGCACTGTAGTACATATATTGAAAATTGCTTGTAGTTATGAAATAGTTTTTTAAATATGGATTTGGAAATATTTTAGCCGAATTGCTACCATCAGTTATACTATAACCACCAATTTCCATAACTGCCTTAGGTAAGCTTTTAGAGTAACTGATCGCTTCAGTTTTACGTGAAACACAGTGTAGTACTCATTATTATGGTTAAAAATAATATGCCAATTGTCTCATCAAATAAAAAGTTTTATATCTCGCAATATAAGTTTTCATCGATTATACAGGGTGACTTCGAAGTTGAGTCATTTATTTTAACAGTGAGTAGATCTGATCAAAAGAAATGTTTTTTTCCTTTACCATTTTTCTGGTAAAATTAAAGTAACAAAGTTATAGCCCTTTGGAAGTTTGAGTACCGCCCTGTCTCAATGTGCTCGTGTTTGGCGACAACGGATATAATCCGCCGTATCGGTTCATCGCATCGGAAACAAAAAAGCGAAAGAATTTGGAACGATGTTTTTACAATTTCATTCATTTGTATACAGTCAGTGTCAGTGAATAGTGGTATCTGTTGCGTGGCTCAAACGAAATAAAAAATGGCACATGTTTATGCGGATCGGTTTCCCAATCGAGTGCAACCAACCCCTCGTGCCTTTGTTAATGTAGTACAACGGGCTCGTGAATCAGGTGACTTAAGACCTCACAGGGGACCTCACGATCAAATACAGGTCCGCACTGAAATACTTGTAGGGAGGATACTTTATAAAACAAGGTAAACATTTTTTTTTTAATTTTTTTTTATGTTTACACACATATTTTGGTTTATCTTCCTTCTACAATCATTATCTGAAAATTAATGACTCAACTTCAAAGTCACCCTGTATATATGATCGTTCACTTTGAGGAGTTCCCAAACATTCTTTCTTGACCAGTGGAATATAATTGCATATATGTGTGTATTCAATATCTCACTTATTGGTTAGTCCGAATATTATTTTTTTTTTGTTTCAGGTGAAAAGTGAAGAACATGGATATCGCAACCCTCGTGAAAATCTCTGACCTGCGGAAAGTAAGTACCTACTTCAAAACATGTACAATTAAAAATAAACAGATGTGCTCAATAATAAAATTACAAAGCTACACCAGCAGGTGAAAAAATAATGTTTCTTCCAGTAATTAATAATGAAGTCGTTTAATTTTAAATAATGGATATATGTGAATAGCCGGAAAGGGTTTATAAATTATTTATAGCTGTGGAACCTACACCTTTTGTGAGTTACTATTATAGACGCATTGTGTTTCCTAGCCAGAGAAGTTTTTCTGTGGTGAACTCTCATACCAGTGTCGAAGGAATTTGCACAAAAAAGAGAAAAGCGTCTTTGCAAAAAACGCATGTAAATCAAGAAGGGAAAATAAAAATACTGACAATGATCTAGATTCTAGAACATTACGTATTTTGACTGTGGTACTATAATAACTGTACTATTTAGCGTTCGATTTCATGAATTGTTGTAAATCCAACTGCATGGTGTTAACAAAATCGATAGTTGGCAGAACTGTGCTGCACTGAGATAATAGAGAGTTCATCTGGATGTACTGCGGAGCATTCAGTAATAAAACTTTACCAGTTGATTTCTGTGATATTCTATTCGAAATTATAAATAGAATTCATCATCAGTAGGTACTATGAAGTTTGACATGATACCTAACTCAACTTCCCATTATACCTAGTTTGACCAATTTATTTATTATATCGTGTTTTCCTTCTCCCCTAGGTCATTCAGTTCCAAAGTTACCATTTTTTTTCTCGATAAAGACCAACAGTTATATAATTATATGTTTTCTTCAAACACTGATTTTTCACGTATCGTGTGATAAAGGGAGTTTCTATTTACTACCTAAAATAAACCAGGATTATATAGAAAAATGAATTATATTCATTATGGATTTCAAAAATTAAACTTTTGTTCACCTTATCAGTAATCCTGATCCTATTTTATACCGCAACTATTACCTCCATGATTTCCGTCATCTTCAATTCGCCCGGAGTATTTTACTTTTATCATTCCACTTAGGAACAAACGTTGCCGCTATTCTGTGTTTTGGAAGTCCGGTTCAGTTACTTCTGTGTAAGTAGGTAGGACAACGACAACATTTTTAGCCATACACTTAATCGTGGTAAATTTTGATGGTAATTTTTTATTATAAGTTGAGTATTACTACTTCATAGTCCAACGAACCAGAGTACAGTGACGAGTGACGTTGCACGCACATTACAATGAACAAATGACAGAGGAAGGGCAGATAGTGCGAAAATTTCGAAATTTGGATACATGACAGACTTCCTTGTGAAAAATACTTAGATGATTTTTTTATCCAATATTGGTATTTATTGTTTTTTCATTCGATTTTCATCGCAAGAAAATCACAGGAAAAATCAGCTGTTTTTTTAGTGCACATAAGTCTGTTCAACATTTCTCTCGCTCTTGCTGACTGTAAAACGGCAGGGGTGTTACGTATCTTGAAAAGTGACATTATATAGGTTTTGTGTGACATTATACGTAGGTTTTCCTATCTCAACTGGGAACTAGCTATTGTTTACTTGATGTGCACTCGTTGTGTAGCTGTGCGTGTTGCCTAAACGTCATGATGCCTGAGCTATCATGGTTTGGCTCTGATCTGATGTAACATCTGCTTTAGAGATGGCATTGATGCAGATCTAAGCTGTGAGTTGTATGCTATAGCTGGAAGGAAATGGGCGAGACACGGTAGTTGCTTAGTGTACGCTAATAACACTGATAAACACAGGATTTGTGACATGACAATTTTTGGGTGTATCTTATGTATTTTAAGACCCTTAAATCAAATCTAAAAACAGAATTTTTCTATCACCCACAGATATTCCGTAACATCTACTTTTATGAATTACAATACGTAATATCTCATATTGCTGCATTTCTAGGCGTTTATGCGATGAAGCACATATATAATGTTAAGAGCTGTCTATTCCTCTTTATTATATGCGTGCTCTACGTTTAGAGAGCAAATTGCGTTTATTAGTAGACTAATAGCAGCCGAGTCAGTTACTTTTTCTGTGTTGAAGAGTACTGAGATGTTCTGAGTACTGTTAATTTTTGTTAAAACGGTGTGTTGTTTTTAGTTTATTGCGATCGATACTAGCTTTATGGACAATGCCTAGCAATTGTGTAAATAGTGCGAACAGTTTTTGTTACGTGTGTGGAGAGCTAACTTTTAAATCCGAAAAACGTGTGTTGAAAGCATGCGAACTTTATTTTGGCGACCAAGATGAACTATGGGCCCCTGATATATGTTGTAAGACTTGTGTAATGTTGTTAACAGGTTGGTTAAGAGGCGACAACTCGTAAAATGCCCTTTGCGGTACCAATGGATTGGAGAGAACCGAGAGACCATACTACTGATTGCTATTTTTGCTTCACAAATATTAAAGGTATTGGACCAAAATCGAAACATACTGTTAAGTATTTTAATTTACCATCAGCTTTGCGGCCCGTTAAGTATAATGATGAACTTTATCTCCCAGTTCCACCAGAATCTTGGTCTTTGGATGGACAAGTCGAATATACCGATTCTGAAAGGATGGTACAGTGTAAACATTTCCGATCCTTCACTTGACCTGCCAGGATGTTCGCGCCGCATTTTATCACACAGGGCGAACTTAATGACTTAGTTCCAGAATTAAATCTGTCAAAATCCGAATCCGAGCTTTTAGCGTCAAGATTAAAAGGATGAAAGACCTCACACACTGTTTCCGTCAAGAAAGGGAGTTGATATATTGCTCCGATGTCAACAATTTGTTTGACGCTTCAGGACAGAAACATGATCCAAATGATTGGCGCCTGTTCATTGATTCCTCTAAGCTTAGTTTAAAAGCGGTATTGGTACACAATGGTAATAAATACGAGGGATGCCTTTTAAGTTTTACATATGGAAATAAAACAACACGGTAGGTAGTTTGAAATGTCTTTATTGTCTTTCGAAGTATTCTCCACGAAGATTAATACACATCTGCATGCGCTCAAACCAATTTTCGAAGCACTTATTCCACTCGTTTGCTGGCAGATCCAACACGGCATTTTTGAATGCGTCAACTGCATCTTCTGCTGACTGGAACCTTTGACCACGCAGTCTGTTTTTAATTTTCGGGAAAGTAAAGAAATCGTTAAGACTTAGATCGGGACTATATAGAGGATGGTCCAATAATTCCACGTTTTCTTCCGTTAAATACTGCCTTGTTTTTTGGGCTGTGTGCGAGCTTGCATTGTCCTGGTGGAGGATGATTCTTCTTTGGGGGTTGATTTTTAGCAGGTCGGTGATAACTTTTGGCAAACAAATGGTCGTATACCAATCCGCAGTAATAGTTCTTTGCTCATTAAGAGGAATTGTTGCAATATGACCCGCTTTTGACACAAATGTCGCGACCATCTTTTTCGAAACACTTCGAGAACGGATGACTTTTGTTGGCTTTTCTTCACCTTAGAACACCCAAACAGCCGACTGTCGTTTATTTTCTGGTTCATAACAGTAAATCCACGATTCATCACCACTAACAATGCTGTACACATTTTTTGAGTTTCCGGAATTAAAACGGTCAAGCGTTTTTTGACACCAATTAACCCTGGCTGCTTTCTGCTCTTCAGTCAACAGGTGGGGTATCCAACGAGAAACTAATTTTCTTACTCCTAATTCTTCATGTACAATTTTTTGAATTGAGGTCTTTGAGATCTTCAAGGACGCCTCAATCTCGCGATATGTCACATGTCTATCTTCAATGATGGGTTTGCGTACAGCATCGATGTTTTCCTGTGTGACTGCCGTTTTTGGTGCACCCACCCTGGGATCGTCGCTAAGACTCACCCGTCCACGTTTGAATTCTCCATACCAACGGGCATATTTGTGGGTCCACAAATACGGAAAATCATGAAGGATGATGTATTAGACAGTGCTCTAAATGAAACTGGATTACGAGCTTGGAATGCTTTTAAATCAGTTACTGCAAATTTTTTAGGCAATGTGAAGGCGGACAACTATAAAGATATTGTGAGTGAGCTGATTATTGCTTATAAAGGAATGGGATGTAACATGTCTCTAACAATTCACTTTTTGGATTCTCATCTCAATTTTTTTTCCGGAAAATTTAGGTGCGTTAAGTGATGAACATGGTGAACGGTTCCACCAACACATTTCTGTTATGGAAAAACGATATCGACGCAAATGGAGTGTCAATTTGGTTGCTGATTATTGCTGGACATGGTTAAGAGATTCTTCAGGAGCAACATATCGCCGTAAAACATCGACAACAACATTCTGAGGTTAATGTTTATTCGAGTGTTTATTAGTACTCTTACACACATATCCTTATATTTTACGAGTATAAGCAGCAAATAAAATGCCTTATTGCAAGAAAACCGGGGAAAAAAATCGAATGATATTTCCGGCTTTTTGGGTACGTTTTACATAATAACCACCTTGTTTTGTCCATGTCAGAAAAAATTATTTTAGTTTTGTTCACCGGTGTAATCTGTGTTGATGATAATTCCCTTGGTTTTTTCTCTCAAACGCACTTAATTGAGATGCATGCTTCATCCTTCAAATATACGCGAATATTTATGAAACGTGAAAAGGTAATTATATTTTACATTTGTTATTTCAAGTTATTTAAATTTTATACAACTTTATTTTGCGATGTCAAGAAATACAAATCGTCAATCCTAATTTTTCGGTGATGTGGCTCAATTATACACAAGGTGGGCGCGGTGGTGATTTGCCGTAATGCTTCTCAAAGTTTTGGAACAACAAAAAAACCGGGAAGTCGTAATTTATAACTTTGAACCTAACCTCTCTTCGGAAACGACATCACAAATAACCCGTCTGGTACAGCTGAAAGATATACTTTACGAGCAGCATATTCAGTAGCAATTTTCTCAGGTAGCAAATATCACTGATTTTCTACACATGCAGGCCAATATAGACAATCATCCAGGTGCGACATTGCTAGTCAACCATCTTTCTTTCTGTCACAACTTAAAGATATAGTTTACAGACTATCTCAGCATTCTGCAACCCACAAAGCATGCTGGCGAGTTGACTTGCAGCATGGTCTTTGAGCATGTCCTCGAGTCATTCCGCCATAGGTGACGCTATTACTAACGCGGAATGAACTATTTGCATACTAGGAGCTATCTAGTAAGCAAGTTGATATTTTGTCGGTTTTTTTTACATTACATTTTTTACGTAGTAAATCTGCTGCCGTTCTGTTGCTGACGCTAGTGCTTACTTTATACAGCGCTAAGTTTCATGTGCCAAGTGCTAGTGAACGCAGCTGTTGAGTTAAATCGAAGTCCAAAAAAATAATAGCATATTCGATTTTTTTGCAATCGCATCACTTCTCCCGCTTAAGCGTGGGCGAAGGAAAAAACGACACAGCACCATCGTCACGTCATTTATAATCAAAATCGATCAAATAAGCAATTCTTGGAATAACAAAAGATAACAGCGGGTTGGTTTAGTCTACGTGGTTCAAACAAGCGCGATAGCCATAATATTGTGATGGATAACATTGAATAATGGACACGGGGCGTAGTATTTTTATTTTTCGAAATGGTCTCATTTCCAATTTTGACTGTCACTATTGTCACCGCCAAGGATTTATTACAGCGTACCTAATTGATGAATGGCCTCAACTAATTACGAAAATCCAAATCGGTCTGTTGAGCATTGATTTGGTAGGACAATGAAATGCCAATAGCTGCTACCAGAATTCGCCCGTCGAAAACTAAAAGATAAATGAATTGATAAATAGTAGTTTTTAAGGTTACAACTATCTTAAGGTGTAAACGTTCTTAAAGAAAAATGTCTAGATTTAAGAATGAAACACTATTATTGATACATATTCTTAATTTGAAGGATAGACTGACTTCCCATGTCAATAGATTAGGAAGTAGGACTGGCCGAATCAAACCACATATATATTTTAGTTTCTCATTATTGTGGCCTTTTCCGAGCACAATAAAGATAAATTAAGACATATTCCGCCTGACAATGGAGTCCTATGAACATGAACGCCACAGGATAAGTTTGAGGTGTTACATTAGATCAAGAAGTATTGTTATCGCGAAATTAGTCGTATTCGAAATAAATTGTAAGTAATAAAGAATGTTTTTATTTTTATTACATGAAATGAATAACTGATTATGTTGTCGGTATATTTGAAGGAAAACTTTAGGCTTTCAAATAGAGAGTGTATCAAACAACATTGCAATTTTATGAGAGCAATACGTGTGGAAGCGAAATAAAATAAATTTCAGTGTTCCTGTTTCAGAGGATCGTAAAGGTTCGTAAAGGAACTTTAAAAGATATCACGGAAAATAGGGCTCCGAGACCCTATTGCCCTTGTTATCACCCTTGGGAATACTGCGAAAACATCAATAATTTGCCAAGGTCATTCTCGCCATATGACGGAAGAATAAAGTAAAAGGCAGCTGATTTTACGTGTTTTTCTCGAAGAATGAAGCTTAAATATGCTGATAGTCAGCTTCTCAACTAGGGTGTGATACTTTGTCATATTCACCAGGAATCATTTTGTTCTAGGTTTAAATGAGGATTGAGTAAGCTAAGCTTTTACAGTTACAGGAGAAAAACTTGGTATGCTTGAAATACCTTTGGTTAAGGACACCCTAAGCAAGTATTTTTTAAGACTATAAAAATGGGGGTTTTCCGTAACTCCTGTGGTTCGTATGTTCATAGGACTCCATGGTCTGGACGTATCAAAACCACATATATGTGCAGATTTTCGTTTATGGTACGACGTTTCTACCGTATTTGAAGTACAGCTGACAATATAAATTGGTTTCTGTCTCCCAGGTAACGTTTTGCTTGTTTTTTCACATTCCTGTGCAGTGTGTTATTACAACAAAGTCTAAACGGTCCAGTAACATGCTGAGATCGCGCGAAATCATCACTGAAATTTTAATTTGGCACCTCGTAAAACCAGCATAGCTCAGGACCACCTGGGGTAGGCATCTCCGCTCCCAAAAGGACGCCCAGTCCCCCAAAGCGACAAGTGAGCATGAGGTTACCTGTTATTTTTAATGTATCACGACACCCTGATCCATCGTTCCGGAAACGCCAAAAGTCCCCTGAAAATGCGAAAACCCACCCAGATCTATTGTCGCAACACGTCGGTTAATGAATAATGTACATCTAGCAAATATTGCTAAAGTGCTTAAAACAAACAAAGCAACGGTTTGTGTAAGCTGTTACTTTTTTTAATTTATTATTTTCATTTATGCTATCGAACTTCAAAGTAGAGCTATTTTCATGTACTACCACTGATTTTATTCCTAGTAAAACTTCGTACATCGCATGTTCTTATAGGTTAAAAGTTTTAATGTCGAGCTCATTTTATTCCAGTTATTTTTTTTGTAGTTCAAAAGTGCAAGATGTGTTGAATATCATACAGTTGCTTTATATAGCAGTCTGTTAGAAAAAGATTAGAATTTTAATTCTGGATTTTAAAAAAAGTGATTCTTTTGAAGATACACTATTATTTTTAACAAAACAAAAGAAAAAGCTGGTGATATGGTACGAACCTGATGCTTCCCTTTGAATGTGGGGCAATAAATTCCATAATAAATTATGTGACATGAACCGTGTTCCCATAACCTTTTATTTATTTTAATACATAACGAATTCTGGATAAACTGGAACATATGTAAAACATATACAGTGTTTGTTGTGTAAAATATCATACGTTGCTTACAAAATCCTAGGATAAGTTACACTACTCAAAGAAATTAACGGGGCAAGTAGAAAATCAAAATTTTTTGGTGACCTTTGACGGCTGCACTTTAAACTAGCATTTGGAAGCTTTCAGATTTTTCCGCAGAAAAATTTTAGGAGCAACGGTTCTCATGCAATTCTAGCAGATATGTCAAGAAACATTTTTTGCAAAATGCTTTAGTCCACGGGCTTGAATCCTTTTTTTTCTGTTTGGCCATCATACGGATCAAATAGCCCGTATATTCAGCTACAATATCTTGTTTTTCAAAACTCGATACGATTGGCGCGGAGATATCTGACTTTGAATGAAAGAGGTCATCGATCACTGATATCTTGGTAACCGGTGATCGCACGGAGAATGTAAGGGCATTTCCGAGAACTGAAATAAACCTCCTACAAAATTTGTTTGCAATCTTTGAGGGAATTTTGATACTGTTTCTCCAGACCGACAATTTTCTAAATCCGCCGTTGAGACCCCGTCAAAAATATTTTCTAGGTCCGCCCCTGGTCTGTATTTTTGTTTTCTTGAAAATGTCATGAATAAATGAATAAATTTTTTCACATTGCTTTTTTAAACTAGAATTTGTTTTAGATATCGAGTAGTGACAACAAAAGAAGAAAAATTATTTTTCCATTTTCAACCAGATTACGAGTTGTTTTGATACAAACATTTTGATCATCTGATTTCTTTCACAATTTTACCAATCGTTCCGGAGAAACCGTACAATGGGTCGGTCTGCCGCCGTGTATGGTTATTAAGGGAACATTGAGGTATAAAGGAACCTAAACCTTCTCATCAGCAGTCCAAAAAATGTGGTCGATTTTCCAAAACACGGCAAAAAGTAACTTTTTTTAAATCGATAGTAAGGAAACAAAAAAATCCCTTAAAGATCAAATCTTATAGGAAATGTATTCCGTATTTCGAAAATACCCTTACATTATCTTTGCAATCACCGGTTACCGAAATATCTGTGGTCCATGACAGAAGGATCCTTTTTCATTCAAAGTCATATAGCTCCGCGCTAAATGATACCCATGGACTAAAAGGATGCAACATTTTTTTTTTATGCG